GATGGTCCACCTGCGGCCCTCTGAGGTCGCCGCCGCCTCCCTGTGTCTGTCCCAGCTGCTGGTGGACGGCCTGCCCTGGGTGAGTCGCCCTACCTGTCCCTCTGTCTCAGCTTCACTTATTCCAGCTGGAAACTAGAGATCAGGATGACCTCAGAGCCACATAAAGCTGGTTCCAAAGTGGACCTTCTACCAGCTGCAGAACATTTCCAGGATCAGAGAAACTCATCCAGGCGTTTCTCTTTAGTGGCTTTGATTCCTGCAGCAGCGTCTTCACAGGACTGACGGATCAACGGTCCGGAACGCTGCCGCTGGAGTTCTGGCTAGAACCAGGAGGATAGAGCCGCCGCCCGGTTCGACAGTCCTTGACTGAGAGAAGAGACTTTAAACTACTGCTGGTAGTTTATAAATCACTGAACAGATTAAAGATCTGCTGTTGTACCAACCCTCCAGGCCTCAGGTTCTGGTTCTGCTCTTCATCCAGAACAAATTTCCAGGAAACTGCAAAACGGCTGAAACGCCGAGTTAAAGCTAAAACCCAGCTGGTTAGAGTTGTCTTGGGACCATAATAAATGGGACAAAATGTTTGTTCCCGTTTTCTAGACTAATGAACGTTAATTTTCCTCAGTCGCCCACGCAGCAGCACTACTCCACCTACGACGAGGCCCACCTGCAGCCAATCATGCAGCAGCTGGCAAAGAACGTGGTGCTGGTGAACGAGGGGAGGACCAAGTTCCAGGTGAGTTGAAGACATGTAGCTGTCCCCTGGCTGGAGGACAGACGCTCTCTCTCTGTCCCCTGGCTGGAGGACAGACGCTCTCTCTCTGTCCCCTGGCTGGAGGACAGACACACTCTCTCTCTCTCTCACCCTGCAGGCGGTGAGGAAGAAGTACTCCAGCAGCAAACTGATGAAGATCAGCCTCCTTCCTCAGCTGAACTCCTCCATCATCCAGAAGCTAGCGGCTCCTCTGCTAAAGGAGTCCTGAGACCCGGAACGTCTTCCTGGACTTTAACTTTTTGCACTTTAGTTTTGGATTTGTTCTCTTGCTGTGGAGCTTTTTTATTAAAATGTTTTTATAAACTTTCATCAGAATGTTGTACTTTTCTTCAGGTTGTTGTTGTGCCTTAAACTGTATTGTGAACATGAGCTGCAGAAGTTTGTCTGCAAGCAACTTCTGTGGAAACAAACTCTAAGACTTATTTTATTTTTAAATCAAGAAGTTGGGTTTAATTTTTGTTGAACTGAAATAAAATTTTAAAAACTGAGTCTGTTTTCTGTATTTTCAAGCCAAATTCAGAAGCAAGGCCATTTATTTTAATTTGACACCATTTATGCACAAGATTAAAGTTAAAATTAAGTGACTAATTCAATAGTTGTATTAAAATGTAAACTTAAAACTTGGTTTCTGGGATTGTTGTGATCTTTAATGTTGGCACCAAAAAAGAAAAGCAACATTTTAAATTGGTTTAATCAAACTGTTCTTACAGACAAAATGTTGACTTTCTATTTTTTTACAGCAGCATTTAGTTTTTTCCTTCAGTTTTTCTCTAATCTATATTTTCTGAAAGAAATTGGGTATTAAAATCATTCTAAATATAAGTTCAATAGTTATTGCATGTTGCCTTTTTCCACATCCTGGTTTGTTTTCCAACATTTCTCATTTTACTTTCAAACCCTGCTTATCTTTAAGGCAAATGCAAACAATTTTATGCTTTAACTTGGTAAATCTGACCCGTTAACAGGACCCACCCACTCGGTAGGTCAGGTAATGAATAATCCGACCACAAGCGTCTCCATCCAGAAGTGAACTGAGAAACTCCACATGTGATGAAGCAAATTTCTCAGCGTTTTCCGGATTTCATTCTATTAAGTTTTTTATATAAAGTCATTTACATGCACCTGAATCGCGTTTCTAACGAATATTACATGTGACCAATAAAGACAAGTTTATTACTAAAATAGTCTTTATTTTCTGTGTAGAGCTGACAGGCTCCAGTCGTGCTGGTTGTCGGGTCTTGGTTCTGGCTCAGTTGAATCGGACTCGGCGCATGGAGCCCACGGTGCTGTTCTGGCTGCCCCAGTCGTTGAAGTTGTGGTAGTCCCGTTTCTCCAGGACGTAGTGCTGCCCCCTGTAGTTGGGCTCCTGGTACACCACCCAGCTGTGACAGCAGAACGGGTCGGTCAGGTCCAGAACACCCTGAGGTTCTTTCTTTACCTGATTCTGGTTCTTTCCAGCTTTCCCGGGAACCCCATTCAAATGTATGTTTTCACCTTATGTATTCATTAATTATTTCGTTTTAGGCTAAATATTTTGCTGGTTAACTAAATATTAGCTTCAGACAAAAATATTTAGCTTACTAGCTAAAGATTTAGCTTGCTCAGTTTGAGGCTAAATATTTAGCTGGCTAAATACGGATGTTTAGTAAGTTAACATTCCATTAGCTCGCTAAATATTTTCTTCATTAATATTAAATTTAAAATGTAATTAATTTTTTAGCTAGCTAAATATTTAGTTAGCCACCCAAATATTTAGCTGGCTAACTAAATATTAAGCTTCAAGCTAAGTATTTAGCTTGCTAACTAGAGCTTTAGTTTGAAGCTAAATCTCTTCATTTATTTCTGACTGTAATTTTTTTCTGTTGTGAATATTCTGTAACCTCTGTGTGTCGCTGGCAGGATTCTCTTGCAAAAGAGATTTTTAATCCCAACGGAAATAAACGTCAAATAAAAAATAAAAACATGTAGCTTATTAAATGTAGCTGGTTCAGTTTAAGGGTAAATATTTAGCTTGATTCGCCATTTATGAACAATATTTCTGTATTCGTCTTCGCTTTGGAGTAACTACTTTGATAAACATTGACCTGCTTTTACTTGAATGCAAGACTTCAGCCCAAATAAGGAAATAATCAACCCCAACCTTTCTTATAGCGCAATCATGCTAAACCTTTTTATATTTTGTATCTGCAACCATTTAAAATATTCCTTTAGTTTATTTCTGAGCAGATAAAATAAAAATGGCACAAACATTTTGTAAGTACGGTAAAGGATGTGTGATGCTGTGGGGTGTTAGAATGCAGGACTTTATGAACTTTTTGGGAAAATCACAACATTTTAAATAAAATCTGGTGATCTCCGACAGGAATCATCATCTGGTCTTTCTGGAGGATTGAACCTCCTGAAGAGAGAGAGCCCAGATCTCTGGACCCAAAGGTGAAAGTTATCACAGCTTCTTATTAAACCAAGCCTTTCCTGACGTAAAACCCGAACTGGACCTGTCAGGACGTTGCACTTACGCTCCTCCCAGGATGCGGATAGACGCCACTCTGTTGAGGTTGTAGCGGCTCAGCAGGTTGGGAATGTCATCCTGGATCTCCATCTTCTTCCCGGAGAAACCGGCTCGCTCGAACAGCTGCGCCCTGGGAGGATTGTTGTCCTGAGGACCAGAGATGCAGCGGATCAGTGAGGAAGCCGGCACATTTAGAAATCAGGTAAAACGATGTTTTAGAGGCTCACCTGCTTAACGGAGCGGACCGAGGAGACGTGGTCCACCTGGGCGCACCAGCGGTCGTAGCAGTTGTACTCCCCGCGGTCGGACATGTCCCACAGGTACTGACGGCCCCGGTAGTTCTCCTGCTCGAACCCGACCCACCTGCCAGACACGCCACAAAGAAGAAGATGATGAGTTCCTCTCTTCTTCTAGAGACCGATATTTTAAGACAGTGGTTCCTAAACTTTCTCACATCCCCTTTGAAAACTCAGACAAAGCTACAAAATCTATGAAGAAACAGAATTTCATTCTTACTTACGCTAGCTTGAGGAGCTGTTTTCACTGGCAGCCAATCAGGAAGACGATCATGGCATTAGCATTTTTAACAATAAAGGTTATTTTACTTATTAAATAGCCTTTATTGTAGAGCAATAAAGGCTATTTTTGTCTTCAAGAAGTTATCTTAACTTACCATATAATTTATAAAAAATGATTGAAATACAGATTACATTTATTAAAAACAATTCAATTTATGATTTAAAAGTTTATTGGGTTTCCTTTTTTCCTATTTTTTTCTCATCTTTCTCTGTTGGCGCCCCCTAGCGGCCCCCCCTTTGAAAAACACTGTTTTCTTAGACAGAACTGGTTCTGGTCAGTAATTCTTGTTGGCTGTGGGAACTTTGGGAAGTTCCCACAGTGTTCTCAATGTTTCAGTTTCTGCCTGAAAAGGCGAACTTACGCTCCGCTGTCCACCTGGACGGAGTTACATCTCTCTGGGAAGTTCTTGTCGCTGATCCTGGGACAGTCGGAGTTCAGGTCCAGTCGTCTGCCAGCGAAGTTTCGCTGCTCGAAAAGGGTCACCTGGGCGCAGAGAACAAGGTCAAACAGTGACACTCAGGTTTCATTCAGCAGTTCCAAAGAGTTCTGGATCAGCGGTTCTGCAAACTTTTGGATCTTTTTCAGCTTCTCTTTAACTATCAGGTGATGCAACTTTAACAAATTAGATAAACTTGTTAGAAGTAATCAAATTAAGCTGTCATGTTAAACAAATGTAGATAAATGAAGTTTAACTTTTCAGATTTGTTAAGGTGGCGCTGCTTCTCGGCTGGACTTACCCTCCCAGTGGACCCGTAGAAGGCACGTTGGAGCACAGACCCCAGTTTGCTGCAGACAAACAAACCCAAACCGTTTTATTCAGAAAACAGACCAATATTCAACTCTCCTCATGTTCTGGAGCCTAACTGGACTCTAAAACCGTCTTTAGCTCATGGTGTTTTTCTCCTCATCCTCAGTCTGGGTGGTTTGGTGGAACTGTTGGCGCCCCCGCGGCGGGCCCCGGCCCTCGGGACGTACCTGGTTTGTTGGGTCAATCCTGGGACCTTAGTGAAGATGTTCATGTCAGCTCTGCGAGGCAGCCAGAAACCGCCTTAAATATGGCGCGTTGATGCAGCGCAGAGCTACCAGAAGGCTCAGGTTGCTCCTGATGCGGCCGCCGGGGCCCGCGGGGCCATTCATATGCTAAACACACACTCCTGATGCCCCCGAGTCACAGAATGAATGAAACAGAAGCACAACGAGCGCGGAGTGCAGCGCCAACAGTTTGGGTTTGAACATTTCAGCATTTTCTCTGAAACAAAGCAGAGAAGGGCCTTGATGGCGGCGGGGCCCGCTGCTCCTGGAGCCTGGATTATTCACAGGAAGCCTGGAGAACGCCACAGGACGTCCTGACTGCACCGACCCCAGGTCAGCCTGTATCTGACGGAGTCATCATCACATCTCATCACTTAACGTTCATCAACAGTTGGTTTATTTTTCTCCTAAAATCATTTTATTAATATAATACATTCAAAAATAAAAGATCAAAATGAGTAATTTTTGGTACACAGGAAGAAAATATTCCCTCCAGGTGGGACATTTCAATAAATGCCACACCTGCGCCCCCTGCTGGCAGAGATTTGTGCCTGCAGTGTCCTGCTGACCATATATGGACGAACCCTCACATTTACCTCCAATGACGTCCTTATTTATTAAAATACTGTAAAGAATTAATATACTTGAGTATTTTCATTAAAACAGTGAAACTTGTATGTTATGACAATTATTACACACAGTGAAGTTTTTTGATGCGTTGTGTCTATAACATACCAAACATTGATATTTTTGCGCTAATGCATAATTGTAAGTTTATTGCAGTTTTCCACAAAAAATGTCAAAACTGTTAAGAGATGCTAACTCTCACCTGCAGGTGGCGGTATTTCTTTTAGGTAGATAAGCCTGACATGACGTCATGTTATAACAACTGACTGACTGTAGTACTAGGAGAAGAAAAGGAAAGCATGTTAACATTGTAGCGCAGCTAGCTTCTGCTGGAAGTGAGTAAAACAGCAACTTAAAATTCACTTCAAACATTTTTTGATCGCAAAAATCACAAAAACAGACTCAAAGTCCTGGAGGGAGAGATTTTTGTTCAGGTATGATTTAGGTACCTTATTGTCAGGTAAGGATCAGATAGTTAGTAGGAAGTGGAAGGGGTGTACTTTCTTTTTCCTCAGGCCTGCAGAGCATGAAGCCATGTTGAATGAACACAGAGACATGCAGTTTGCTTACAGTGTTAAAATCCCTCCATTCTCCATCAGATGTGTTTGTCCAGCAGATTTACTGTCACACTCCGCCGGCTCCCAATGCCGCACCATTCAGAGGTTGTGTGTGTGTGTGTGTGTGTGTGTGTGTGTGTGTGTGATGAATAGTGGAAAACGTCCTGGATGTTTCACTCTGTTGTGTTTTTGTTGCGCTGGTGGGGAACCAGAAGCTTCAGGACTCTTCCTGCGTCCCAGAGACAGACGAGACAAACACAGCAGGTCAGACTTGTGTGTGTGTGTGCGTGTGTGTGTGTTCAGAGTCAGGCAGCACCTCAAACCCAACACACACTCCTTCATTTTCCTGTTTCAGTCAGACTCTAGAGCAGAAGAGAGGCCAGCAGCGTGAAATGTCTCTGTTGGACAAACCGTCCCACTTCCTGTCCCAGTTTGTCCCACAGCTGGCTCAGATAAATCTGCTGTTGCCATGGCGACACACTTCAGGGCAGAGGTCCGCTTCTTCCGGCCTTTCTGGCAGTTTAGTTGGCGGTGATTAAGTGCGGCTGCATGTTGCCTGTCCTGCAGGTGTGAGGAAGCGAGCGGGGACGATGCTGCGGACAGGAATCCGTCTTCTGGCGCTGGCGCTGTGCGTTTCAGCTGGTGGAGACTTTGACTGGACCAAGAATGAGAAAACCTCTTTCTACTACGGCACCTTCCCAACTGGTACGAACTGGTAGGATGGAGAAACCTGAGAGTCATTTCTGTCTGGAAAATTTCAAAACCAACAATTGCAGAAAATTCAGATGAAAAATTTTTTGTTAGACCTGCTGCAATAATCAATTAATGAATTAATCACATAATAAATTAAAACAAGCTCAATGATTTCCATTTGCATGATTTATTGGTTTTTCTCTTTCCACCAGACTGAACACAATAAAAGTGTTCAGTCTGGTTTGTTGGTCTCAGTCAGCAGAGCCTTCATCATTCATTTTATTTGTTGATTCTGTATTAATTTCATATTAATACAAAACACATTTAAAATGTCTTCCAGTTCCAGTTTATAATTTCAAGTGTATTGATCTTTGAGAATGTTTGTTATTATCACTATATTACTTGAAAATGGTCTCAAAAGAACAAGATTATTGTTTATCACAACAACTTCTGGGACGATTTATCATGCAGCAGCTTCTGTTATTGTAACAGGCCAAATCTTTGTTTCATTATGTGTTTTATTAGAGCAGGGGTGTCCAAACCTTTGGTTAGATTGGCCAATATCAGAAGTTCTTGCTGACCAAAATTTAAAAAAAGAAACAAAGTGAATATAATTTTTTTTGTAGAAAATGAATTTTGTTAAGATTTAAAAATGATTTTGCACACTTTCTGTATGAAAAAATTCATCTGGTTTTCAAATTATTTTGGATTTGATTGAACAAATTTGTTCTGAGGATAAGAACAGGTTTGAGTAACTTCCTTTAAAAACGCTTTCTGTGTTTAGTCGAGTTTAAGGAATGAAATAAAAGCTGATTTGGCTGCAGCAAAGTTGGTTTTCCAGTGCAAATCTCTTGATAAACGTGTTTCTACTGATTATAAAAGCTTAGTTATGAAAAGATGAATACTTTGAGTTCTGCTGAATATTTTCCATGGTAAGAAAATTATGTTGGTAATAATTTTACCCTGATCTCCATCTTCATCAGCCGAGTGGTTTCAGGATGTTCTGGGAGAAATATTCCAATCATTTCTCAGACATTTGGTCTTTTTTGATTGAAACTTTGGACTAAATCAGACTTGGGATCCTCTGTGTGTGTCTGGATTAATTTATATTTAATTCAGTTTCAGGAACCAAAACAGGAAGTGATGACTCAGCTAATTGGGGTCGTGAACCCGGACCAGAACATTTATTTGGTTTTCTCTAACAGCTGAAGTTTAACCTGTTTTATTTGGAGCTCTAAAACTATTGCTGTTATTTTTGATAATGTTTGAAACCTGCAGGTTTCTCCTGGGGAGTCGGCAGCTCAGCCTATCAGACCGAAGGAGCGTGGAATACAGACGGGAAAGGAATGAGCATCTGGGATGTTTTTGCTCATAAAAAAGGAAAAATCTCCTCAAATGAAACGGGAGACTCTTCATGTGAAGGCTACTACAAGTTCAAGGTGGTTACATGATTCTCCAAATGTTTCTTATTATTATTATTTCTTTAAATACCTTTAAAGATGTTGATGTTCAGGTAAATGTTCAGTCAGTTCTTTATGTCGAATGAAAACATTACTGTGATCGACACAAAACGCTGCAGATCCAAGAATGATACGAACTTCAAAACAGAAAAACAAAAAGCAACAGGAAACAGAGTCATGCTCAGAGGAAGGCCAGATGAAGCAGAAATTTATTTACAGTGAATACAGAAATGCAGCTAATTTTCTCATTATGTCATCCATAACAGAAACAAACATTTAAAAGCAGCTTGAAAACATGCTTGGTTTGTTTTGGATCAGAAAATCAATGTGAAATGATGTTTTTTTGTCTGTTTTTGTCTTTTAGGATGATATTAACCTGATGAAGGAGATGAAGCTGAGTCATTATCGCTTCTCTGTTTCCTGGCCGAGGATTTTACCCAGCGGGTTGAGAAGTAAAAACCCAGTTTGGACACTTTACATGAAAATCAAACCATTTCTAAGACGTTTTCCTAATTAATGGAAACCAAAACTTCTCCAATCAGCAGAATCGTTGGCGGCAGTTGAAGGTGATGAAAACTCAAATGCAGCAGGAGGATTTCCATTTTTGTTTACTTCCTGGTCTGTCCTTTGTCCCGCCCCCACATCCTTTCTGTCCAATGGGAGCAAAGATTGTCATGGCTTTGTTTACAAATTATAGTCCACTTGCAAAAAAAAAATGCACCAAAAGAAAACAATGAAGCGTACTTTTCTGGGCCAAAGGACTTTCCTGGTGTTAATACAGCCCAATCTGAAAAGTGTGGTGTGCATTTATAATTAGCTCTAGTATTTTGTAAATCCACCTCTGGCTGCAGGTAAATCTGTAGGTATTTCACTACTGGCTTCTCAGTTTGATTTAGGTCTGTACTTTGACTAGGCCATTTTAACCCCTGACTCTGCTTTGATCTGAACCATCCCATAATACCTGTTCAGACTGTGTTCAGACTGGTTGTCCCGTTGGAAGGTGAACCTTCTGCAGCCTCCAGGGTTTCCTTCCATCCAGCTTCCCTGTCCCAGAGCATGATGCTGCCACCACCTCGTCCTGCTGTGGGAAGGTGTGTTTGTCACTCTGATCAGTTTGGAGGATCATGAACTGGAGAATCAAACAGAACTCAGACAGGACACCTTCACCTGTCATCACTTTGTCTGCAGATTGGAGAATATTCCAGAAATATGTTGGTTGTATTTTAAATACTTTAACGTTTTCCTTGTTTTTGGATGCGTTTGTTTGTTTTCTGACATGAAACTGCTTCGTTTGGTCAGTGAATGAAAATCCCTGTATTCCTGTATTAATGTATAAATGGCTGATGATGATGTAACTTCCTGCAGGTGAGCACGTTAACGAGAAAGGAATCAGGTATTACAGCGACCTGATCGATTTGCTCCTGGACAGTAAGATCACACCTGTGGTCACTCTGTACCACTGGGATCTACCTCAGGTGAGTTCTTCCCGCCTGTCAGACGCGTCGGCGTGGGCGGAGCCTTGACCAGGATGTCGGCGTTTCCTCAGGTGCTGCAGGAGAAATATGGCGGCTGGCAGAACGCCAGCATGGTCGGCTACTTCAACGAATTCGCCAACTTGTGTTTTGAACGTTTTGGGAACAGAGTGAAGCTCTGGATCACCTTCAACAACCCCTGGGTGAGTGGATGGTGCGTTCACTGGCCGTGGGAACGTCTGGCCTGGGATCTCACTGAGGGGTCTGCTTCTTTTCAGTCCATTTCTGTGGAAGGATACGAAACGGGGGAGCACGCCCCCGGACTGAGGACGAGGGGCAGCGGAGCTTACAAAGCGGCTCACCACATCATCAAGGTCAGTCTGGGTCCAGATCGCTCCAATGCCGATCTGGACCCATTATGACCCTGAACGCAACGCCGTGGGTTCAACCTGGAGGTTCAGCCGTTAGATCAGGATCTGATTCTGATCCGACATGACGGCGACTAAAGAAAAGCTTTGAGTTTCAAACTGAAGCTGCTGATCTGTCTGTCAGGGTTTGATCGTTTAGAGTTTAGACTCCAAACCGAGTCGCTCTTAATTCGCTAAAACAAGATTCAGATTCAACTTGGACTTGTTCCATTAGACTTGAGTTTTGACTTGGCTCTTAATAATTTGGCTTGACTTGAACTTTGCCCCTTAGTGACTTGAGAATTAACTACTTGGCCCTGAATGACTTGAGACTTGATTTAGCTTGCAGTGACTTGAAACTTGACTTGGACTTGGAAAAAGTGACTTGTGAACATCTCTTTCTACTGAACTGTGAAGTTGTCTCCTCACATGAGTATTTCAGACTTGGTGTTCAACCTTTAGGTTAAATTAGTAGCAGAAAGTGGAGCTTTGTGTTCAGCAGACATAATTTGATCTAAACGTTTCATAATCAAACATATTTAGAAATGTCCAGGTATAAAAAACTATTTAAAATATTAACAGAATAATAAATACATCTTCGTTTTATTTTTTAGTAGTAACTGTAGGTACTTCCTGTTGACGCTCGTCTCTGTTTCCAGGCCCACGCTAAAGTCTGGCACACCTACGACATGAAGTGGAGGAGCAAGCAGAAAGGTGACGGAGTAAACCGACCCGACGGTTTGGCTCTGCGGTTCTGGTCAGTAGCTAACTGGTTTTCAGCTCGGCCCAGGTCTGATCGGGATCTCCCTGACCGCTGACTGGGGCGAACCGGTGGACGTGTCCAACCAGCGGGACGTCGAAGCAGCAGAGCGCTACATCCACTTCTACCTGGGCTGGTTCGCCACGCCGCTCTTCCATGGAGACTACCCAGCGGTCATGAAGGAATACATCGGTACCGTCACGCCCCGCTCCGTTTCCTCCAGCAGATGCAGTCATGGCTACCTGACGAGTTTTCAGCTAACAGGTTTTGGTTTCCCTAGACGTTCCTCAGAAAATGGCCGACTGAACATTAACAGACACCATAGTGCCTGAATTTACATCCAGTTGTATAAAGAAAACTTGTTTTTGCTTTTAATCAGATGTTAAATAAATTAGCAGGCCTGCCACAAAAACACATTTTACTGGACGACAAATTATTGCGATAATGTTGTTTTGAGACCATTTTCAGGTAATATTATGGTAATAGCATAATAATGCAATAACACATTCTGAAATATCAATAAACTTTAAATTCTAATGAGCCATTAACGCTGGAACAGGAAGACATTTTAAATATCTAAAATAAACAAAACAGCAGAAACAACAAATAAAATGAATTATAAAGTCTCTGTAAGCAAAATTGTTCTTCAAAAAAAGGTTTATTTGAGACCAAAGAACCAGACTGAAAACTTTTATCATCCAGTTTTTCGAAGAAAGAGAAAAACGATAAATTATGCAAATGGAAATGATTGAATTTGTTTTAATTTATCATGCAATTAATTGATTTACTGCTTATTATGGCCTATAAATTTGAGATTCTAAACTTAAGCATTGCACCACCATTCCTGTAAATCAGCTATGATGCTAATTAGCACCACTGGGCATTTAAGGAATGAAGCAAACTTTTCACTCTTACCGTACTTTAACCCTTGTGTGTAGAAATGGGGTCCAACCGACCCCACAAAACTTGTATCATTTGCCTCAGTCCTCGCACGCACAAGGGTTAACAAAGGTTTGGACACTTAGAGCATAAATTATTCTGATGGCCCTGACGGTCCGACTCATTCAGTGTCTGCAGCAGGAATCAGATTATTTTCACGTTTTTTCGGTGCCAAAGTTAAACTCTTGGACATTAGAAAACCTGGAGAAGAACTGATAATCCCTGACTTCTGGATGTCCAGGCAGGAAGAGCGGCCAGCAGGGCCTGGGCGCGTCGCGGCTGCCCGTCTTCTCGCCTCAGGAGAAGAGCTACGTCCGAGGAACCGTCGACTTCCTGGGCCTCGGACATTACACCACCCGCTACGTCACCCAGAAGAACTACCCATCCGGCTTCGGGGACAGTTACTTTGCAGATCGGGACCTGGCGGAGCTGGTGGACCCAAAGTGGCCCGATCCTGGTTCTGAGTGGCTCTACTCAGTTCCCTGGGGGTTCCGGAGATTGTTGAACTTTGTGAAGGTGAAGCAACAAAATCATCTGTTTCTTCTAAACAGCACATTGTAAATATGAACTGGTTTTACTGTTTGGACTTTGTTTCCTCTATTATCACCATCATAAAGTAGATTTTGTATGTTTTTAAAAATCTAAATCCAAAAACAGTTTTATGAACAGAAAATAGGATTTAACCCCAGAATGATTCTTAAAGGAACATTAGAATCTGCAGGATGATCATCTGTCAGGTCTCGGTTGGTTGGTTTGTAATTGGAGGAAAGAAGAACCGGATCAGGAGGTTCTGTGGTTATGGATGGGTAGATCTAACCCTGAATTTTTCGTGTGATCTTACCGACAGACCCAGTACGGAAACCCGATGATCTACGTGACGGAGAACGGCGTCTCGGAGAAGATGCTGTGCACCGACCTGTGTGATGACTGGAGGATGCAGTACTTCAGGGAATACATCAACGAGCTGCTGAAAGGTGACGGTTTCTCCTCTGTGTGGAACAGGAAGCTGGCTGGGTCGCCTCAACGTCTGTCTCTGTTTGGACCCTCAGCCGTTAGAGACGGCGTCAACGTGAAGGGTTACACCGCCTGGTCTCTGCTGGACGGCTTCGAGTGGGACGAAGGCTTCTCGGAGCGCTTCGGACTCTACTTCGTGGACTTCAGGAACAAGAACAAACCTCGTTTCCCAAAAGCTTCGGTCCAGTTCTACAAACGCATCATCAGCTCCAACGGCTTCCCCAGCCAGAGAGAGGTGAGGCCCAGCAGCGCAGCCGGCTCCAGAAGCAGCTGCTGACTCTGGTTCTCTGTTTGGTGTCTGCAGGTGGAGAGCTGGAAGAGGAAGGCTGTGGAGACGTGTTCCTCCAGCAACCAGCTGCTGGCTGCAGGTCAGTGGCATGAAAGGCCCAGGTAGAACCGGAGCATGCAGGAATGAAACACTTCCTGCTTGGGGAGGTTCTGAAGGTTCTGATTGGTGGGATGTATTAAAGTAGCAAAGTTCTTCCTTAATGTGATTAATTACATTGTTTATGTAATTATGTACATTGAAAATGTAATTAACTAAATAAGTCTTTAATTAAAGGGTTGTGCAGGAGGCTCCACTTCTCCTTTTTAAAGATGTACAATTGAGTAATTGTGCGTCTGTTTGAAGAGTTTTTCACTGGGAGTGTAAATGTTGAGTTGGGGGGCGTGGCCAGCAGAATATTAGTGGATTTAAAGCGACAGAGACAATAAAACTGATCAGATTAAAAGCTCATTATCTGAGAATGAATTTGTACTAAAAGAGTAATGAACATGCTTTGTAGCCCACAGATCCATCCTAACCTGTTCAAGGAAGCAGAATAGGTCACTTTAAGTAGATTTAATCGCTGGTACTTTTGCTGGGCCTCACTACGTTTCTACAATGTAAAAATTATACCTTACATTTACGTCATATTGCATTTTTTTGCTTTTATTGATTTGAAATCAATGACTTATCTGAGTTAACCAGTTAAAAATGGATTCTAGTTTCAGGAAACTGAAATATTGACTCCATTACAAGGTTGAATATACGATATTTATTCAGCTGTGGAGTTGATGACAACATAGAGTTGAAATGTCAGTGGAAAGGATCGGTACCAGCTATTCCTTTATCTGCTGCCCATGTTTAGGCAGACTGTGTTAAATAAAAACTTTCAAACATTCAATCATCCTTTTTCTTATTTTGGCAGCACGGTGGCGCGGTTGGTAGCAAGAAGGTCCTGGGTTCGATTCCCGGCCCGGTCTTTCTGCATGGAGTTTGCATGTTCTCCCTGTGCATGTGTGGGTTTTCTCCGGGTACTCCGGTTTCCTCCCACAGTCCAAAAACATGACTGTCAGGTTAATTGGCCTCTCCAAATTGCCCCTAGGTGTGAGTGTGTGTGTGCATGGTTGTGTGTCTCTGTGTTGCCCTGCGACAGACTGGTGACCTGTCCAGGTGACCTGTCAGGCGACCTGTCCAGGTGACCTGTCAGGTTACCTGTCCAGGTGACCTGTCCAGGTGCAGATCCACAAAGTCACAAGTCCAAGTGTAAACTGTGTCACAGAGAGTAAACACAATAAGACATGCATTATCTGGAGCATTGTTCATGAAAATGGCAGAACAGCATTCATGAATTAAAGAAAATATATATATAGTAGAGACACATAACATTCTACATCATTGCATTACAGAACAAGTACTTTAACTTTCAATACTTCAAGTCTTTTTACAAGCAAGCACTTTTACTACTTTTACTAGTAAAAATGTTAGTTTGTATATTTGTGTCTGTTTCCTGCAGTTCAGTATTTGAGTATTTTCTCTTTTGCTGGTTGCAGATCCACTGATTGGCCACATGGAGATGGTCACAGAGATCGTTGTTCCCACCGTCTGCACGCTCTGCATCCTCCTCAGCGCCGTCTTCTTCATGTTTCTGCTGCGCCGACGCCTCTGAGGAACGCCCAGGTCGCCTCGTCTGTTTCCATGGAAGCAGAGCTCAGCAGGAACCAATCAGAGCGGCATCTTCCTGTTGACCGCCCTGCCTTTCTGTTCCAGTCGGGTCGTCAATAAACAGTCAGAACAAGCAGAATATGATTATTAATCAATACATGATTAGTAAACCTGGTTTACTGTTGAACTAAAATTGGACTGAACTGTTCAAACTGTTTCTGACTGGAACAAACAACCAGGCTGAACTTTATATTATGAGTTTCATCATATTTAAGCTTTTATTACCAGCTGTATTTCTAAATTTGATATAACAATAAAGTGGTTTAAATGTGCATAATAAGTCTGAGGAATATTTAGAGAGTTTGTGTAGTATATAAATGTAAGATTTTATTTATTTTTCATCAAACAGCTCATTTACCAGGTTCATGCACTCCTCTGCAGTATGAGGGTTGGAAGGTTCCCAGAGTGTAATAATCACTTATTTTTCACTCGGTGAAAAAAAAAAATGAAACAGATTCACTCATGGAAAAAAAAATATTCCCCTGCAGGTTTTAAACCTGACATAGTAAAAATTTCTTAAAATTTATCAGCAGGTTCCAGAATAATTAAATCCAACCTGATTTGGACAAATTCAGCAGTCTGTAGGACAAGAATAATAAACGGTCACAGAATGAACTCTGAGGTCGGGTTTCGTAAGCCTGATGGTATTTTTAATTAGTTGGAGACCCTGGTAACCGCATTCATATATGCTGGGATTCATTTTCTGTCCTGGCATGTAACACCTGATGAGTCCAGCGGGTGGCAGCAATGCTGCAGGCTTCTCATGTGAACTGCAGAAGAAGAAGGCGCATCAGTGGCGGGTCCTCTGGTTCTTTGGCGCTGTAGCTCATCAAAAGGTACGTTAAAGTTTCATTTCACTGAGTTTTAGTTCTCTCAAGGATCTTCTCCGGGTCAAGACTGAAAGTTGTATTAGTTTCAGATCTTCTCTGGCCGCCGCTGGTATTTATTTCACCTCATTTATCCGTAGTTTGTGTCTAAATTACTGTCACGTTCGGTTCAGCAGCCAAACAAAGAATACTTTTAACAACGTCCTGTCTTCCGTATTGAGGCGAGTTATCAGAACTAACCCATTTTCGGTTCTGTGTCCGGTTAACATGTTAGTCTTTTTGTTTTGTTTATTTTTGTGTGTTTACCGCCTTCGTTGTTCTTCTGGGGGCTCTCCAACGGTGTATTACCGCCCTCTACAGTACAGGAAGGGAATTACAGTGTAAAAACTTGTTTTAACAGATGTGCGTTTTCTCTGGTTGAAACCAGAAGTTATTTGAGCTACTCAAAAATAACTGAAGCACATAAGATAACAATAAAATAAAAGATTAATAATATTATTTATTTATTTTAATTTAATCCTTATTTTACCGATATATATCCCTATGGAGATTTAAAAAAAATTTTTAAGGCAGTCCTGGCAAAGAGGCAGCAACAAATACAGCATAATTAAATAAAAACTTCTAAAATAAACAAAGCACATAAAATTAGACTACAAAATAAAACTATAGATAAATAATATATATTGAATAAAAGTATGAAATGTAGAAATAAACATTTTATGGAGGTGACTATATAGTAAAGAAAAATATAAAGATTCCAAAGAAATAATATATAAACTAAGCATATAAAAAAGAAAGATAAAATAAATGTAAGAAAATTATTAAATAAATTATATAAAATAAAAAATAATACAATAAGTAAATGTAACAAACTATTTTTGTGGAAGTTATATAATAAAGAATATTTAAAATTAATAAATGAAGCACAAATAAGTAGTATAAAATAAAGATCAAACAGATAAATGAATAATGAAATATTTAAATATGTAAACCATTAATTAAAAGTATGTATAATATGTAAATTATATAAATGAAACTGGAGCTGCACAACATACAGAAAACTAGTTACTGAATATCGTGACTCCATATTCATCTGTTTTCCTCGTATTTCATCACTTTCTCATCACTGTTTTTCTAGCGTCTCATCCATCCAACAGGTCAGATATACTATCGACTCAGTTTGTTTGCGTCATATTTATTCCAGATGGTTCCTAATACTGTGATTGAACATAAAAACCTGATTCAAAACTGTAAATATTCAACTGTAGAGTTTAGCAGTTCAAATCTTAAAGCTGATGACAGATGCTTGTTTTCTCTCAGCATTCAGTCACCATGAATGACCAACAGGACGACGGGATGAGCGACTTGTCCAACTTGGAGGATGAAGCGTTCCCTCCTCTTCCTCCCCCTCTGTCCCCTGGAGCAGCTCAGTCGCAGGACGACCCGTTTGGAGAAGGTGAGAGTTCGTTTCTAAACATCAGCGGAGATAAACGTGACGATCTGGTGACGGCCACCTGTCGTTGTGCTGCAGCTGAGGAAGGCGAGGTGTCCAAGCTGGCTGACGTTCCGGCTGCCAAGAGGAAAGGAGTGAAGAGGCCGCAGCCGAAGCTGGACTCCCAGAGGTTCCCATCTTCATAACAGGTGGTTTTCCTCCGGTGGTTAATCCAGACGCTCATGATGTCGTTTCCTCTCAGGCTCATTTCAGACAGAGGATTGCCGGCTCTGCGGACCTTGTTCGCTAACGCTCGCTTTAAGGGCAAAGGTCACGAGGTGAGAAACAAGGTTTGATTAGTCATCATTGAGCTAAAAAAATAAACATCTTAAAGGGCCAGTATCATGGAAAACAGACTTTTTGATCTTTCAATCATGTTGTAAAGTTTTTCCTTCATCAAAAACAAACCCGAGTGCTACTTTGATTCTGTCATGTTTGAGGAATCCTTTAATCTCCATGGCAACCATTCAGTTGGAAAACGCCTGGGTGGACCTAGCCCCGCCTTTGAGGCCTAGCTCCTCCCCCACTCAGCTCCTTCAGACTAGCCAGCAGCAATTAGCAAACAGCTGCTGAGCTCATGACAGCAGCTGCTGCTCAGAGCAACGCTGGTAAAAACATTAAAGGGTTAATAGAGGAGCCATGTTGGGACGACTTCCTGGAGGCGGAGCTTCAGGAAGAGCTGGAGCTTTTAAAGAGACAGAGGCCCTATTTCAAGGCGCTAAATTACAAAGTCAATTTTTTATAACAGTTGAAGGTAACAGTTATGCTATAAAACATAATTATTATAAAATACACAACACTACCCCTTTAAAATTCTCCATACCCAGCTGTTTTTGATGGATCTAAAATGTCTCGTCTATAAAAGGCTTTGTTCTTCTGATCACATGTTTAATTGAATCCTCTTTGCTTCTGCTGGGCGTCTGGACCGGCTCTTTGGCCAGGCGGAGGACCTGCGGCTGCTCATGCAGAAGATGGAGAACTGGGCCCACCGGCTCTTCCCCAAACTGCAGTTTGAAGATTTCATCGACAGGGTGGAGAAGCTCGGCAGCAAGAAGGAGGTTCAGGTGGGCTGAAGCAGGAAGGGAGAGGTCCTCTGTGCAGGACGGGTTCTAACGGGTTCCTCCTCTGCGCCGCAGACCTGCCTCAAACGGATCCGACTGGACATGCCCCTCACAGACGAAGACTTCATGGACAAACCAGGTGAGACGGACTGGACCTTCAGGGGCGTCACAGTGACTAATGTTCACTGGGCCAGATTTAAAAAGTGTCCAAACTTTTCTCAGTGTGCCTGTTTTATATATGAAAATCAGTCCATTTTAAATAGCTTTGACCTTTAACCCCTGATGGACTAGTGAAGCTAATTAGCTTCTACCTCCCTCACAGGAGATGTATAAATATTGTTGGCTGATGCATCTGCTTCTCATCATAAAGTTGCTATTTGAAGTGCTTTGATGCCCTCTAGTGGTTGGAGTTTAAACTACATGCAGCTCATGGGCCGACAGCCAGAAACTGATAAACTCAGTAAATAATCTTAATTATGAGCTAGAGTGTGCAATAAAATATATTTAGGCAAAATAATGTTGTCTATATAAGATATAATAAAACACATAAAATGTGACTCCAATTCTAAGTTATTCCAAGTTTTATTGTTGGAAACACCAATGGCAGCTCAGAAATATATGTTGAAATTCAGAAACTGATTTCATTTTGCAAAAACACGGCAGGAGCTCATGATACTTTGCAGCCAATAAATTCACCTGCTTTTAGAAAACTAACATAATGATAAAGCAATGGTTGTTCACAAACATTTTTAACTGTATTTTAAAGTTTTGTTTGAGCAAAAGCAGCATCAGTAAAATGTAAGATTGAACTCTGTTTCATTCCTCATGTGCCTAATGGTGCTAATTAGCATCGCAGCTAATTAGTACCATAGCTAATTAGCAGCACTCTGGATCTGAGGTGATTTCTCTGTTTCCAGGAGCGGAGGAGCTGCCGGCTGGATTCCAGGATCCCGATCCGTTCATCAGCCAGGCCTCCTCTACCGATCCTCCAGGTCCGGTCCACTCCACCCCGGTTCCGGCTCCGGTTCCGGCTCCTCCCTCCCTGACTGAGGAGCAGCGCCGGAGGATGGAGCAGAACCGGCAGCGAGCGCTGGAGAGGCGACTGGCCCGGCAGCAGCAGACAGGTGAGACGGTTCCACCCAGAACCACTAGAGGGCGCTCAGAACCCGGCCGAAAAATGCTTCAGGAAGTTTTTCTGTTTCCTCAGATCCCTCAGCGCCCCAGGCTGACACGGCGCCCTCAACAGGAAGTGACCTCACAGCAGATCTCAACGGGTCTACTGAGCAGAACCAGAAGCCAGGAGAACATCTGGACCCGGATCCGTCCGGCAGCACAAAGACTCCACCACCTGAGGTTCCTGAACCCGACTCTCCAGCAGAACTTCCTGCTGAGGATGAGAAAGAAAGGAGTCCAAGCTCCCAACCCTGAGGTGTGTCAAAAACTGGATCTCTGCAACAGAACCTTCTACCAGAACCAAACTACAGAACCTTACTGGTTCCTGAGCGGGAGCCTGAAAAACTTTAAACCTGGATGTTTCTGTTCTGGTCCGGTTCTGGTCCAGGGCAGAAGAGTGGACTGTAACAAGTTCTGTTTTACTAGGAAACAACCAAAACGGGCCGGTTCTGTGTTCGAGTTATTTTAATATAAAAATGTCCGATAATAAACAGTTGATTTTAATGAAACCGGGTCAGAGTTCATGTTCTGATGGTGAACCAGAACATTTCTCCCAAAACGAGCTAAAAACAGTTCCCACATCTCATCTGCTGGTTTCTGTCGGTTCTGGACCGTTGGGTCAGAACCTCACGAGTCGCTCTGTGGCGGCTCGTCCTCTATGCCATGACGGTGCCGGCCCGCGCGGCGGCGTCTGGGTCCATCAGCGCCAGCTCCCGGATCTCCT